GATTATCCTTATAAAGATGAAATAAAGCCTTGGGGGAACTAGAAACTTGTTGCTTTTATTACTGTGAATAGGAATTTGTCTTATAAGAAGAAAGAGTTTTTATTAATGACATTTTAAAAAATGGTTTTGAGGATTATAAATGTGCCCACTCCAGATTCTTAACTCTTACTAAGAGGTTTCCATCTTTAAGATTTTACAGACGTTGACTAATTTATCTTTGTAATACCACCGAGAAAGAGGCAAACAAGTTAAACTGAAATAGTATGTAGTTAGGATTATAATCCTCATATTGTTAAAAAAGAATTCACAGAGATCATGATAATTAGTCAGAATACAGCAACAGGCATAAGAAAAATATGAAAAAGAGGCAATAAGGTATGGATGCTCTTAGAAATCTAGGAGCATGAACCCAATTGAGTCTGATAGTCTACTCTCAACAGTGATTTCATGGGGTATGTTGTGGGAAAGCATGATGTGGTTTTAAAGGCCACCGTCAGATACACACATATATATAGAGCTATACCTGCCATAAATCTGCACCAAACCCCCTGGGATCTATTCATATACCTCTACAAACTCTTCGAAGAATGTTTCGTAAATTTATCCTCCACCATCTGAAGGAGTGATTCTTTCTTTGCTTATCTCAAAATTACTGTACCCTCCCTTTCAAATAGTTAACTCCTTTCCGCCAAGAGTAAAGAAGCAGCAAATTCAGTTAATTTTATTTATACCACTCATGATCTTTCAAATTTCACTTCTGAGCTTTATTTTGTATATTGCCCAGACCCTTAATTAATTCATTGTGTCTTCGCCTGACAATTTTCCTGAACGTTTTTTCCTTTTACGTTAGATATTTCTTACCAGAGGAGATATGAGATAGGATACTGTTCAAGGTCTAGTAATTACACCAGAGTTTCAGTGTTATGTTCCTTTTTGTTTACAGTGGCTTTTTGTGACAGCATCTGCCTTTCTGGTTGCAGAAGAGTCCTCTGTCACAAATACAATTTGGGGTCTTTTTAAAAATTTTTACCATCTAGCTAAGGGATGCATAATTACGTAGTGACACAGCAAGTCTTGGTGGCACCGTAGTCCACCAGTCACCCAGCTGGAAACCTAGCCTTTATTCTAGACTGTTCCCCTTGCTCCCAACTTTTATGTCTAATTAATCATGATCCTTCCAATTTTACTTTCTACATATATTTAGCCATCCTTTCTGCTCTCATGCCTTCAGGTCTCATCCGACTAACTTCTGGTAGTTCCTTTTAAAGAGTCAGTTTCAGCACCATCTCCTCTGAGTTAGGTGTCCTCTCTGGGTCCTTACTCTGCCCCTGCCTGGTCTTATTGTTTAATCCTTCTGTGATGCTCTTCCCCACCACTCTATGAACTCCTTGAAGGAAGGAACAGGGTGAGACTTATTCCCTGTTTTATCCTCAGCCCCTGACTTAGTGCCTGGTACATATAAGGTCTTGAACAAATTATTGTTCCCTGGATGGATGAACAAACAAATAAAACTTTCCTTCAGCTCCCTCCAATGCCTTTTTTATATACCGTACAGAGACAAAATAATGACCCAATTACCCATGGGCAATTTTATTGAACATATAATCATTTAGCTTCAAAGCACTTCATGAAATCCTAGTGCTTAATCGTTTTTGTTTATGTTTTAGCAATTTTTGGTTCTGTGTGTGTGTGGAATGTATGTGTATGTGTTTTAAGGAGGGATAAAAGTAATTTTCAAAAATTTACCTTCAAGTGTGACTCTTCATTTTATTTTCAGGATCTCAGTAATTCAGAGCATGGACTTTGTCGTCTATTAAACCTAGGTTCAAATTTTGGTTTTCCACTTGGACCATTCTTAACCACTCTGATGCTGAGTTAGTCTCACTTTGAAGCAGTCGTAATATAAACCATATGCAGTTGTTTTATGTGTGTTTGTATATACAGTCATTCATCATTTAACGCCGGGGATATGTTCTGAGGAATTTGTCATTAGGTGATTTCATTGTGCAAACATCATAGAGTGTCCTTACACAAACCTAGATGGTGTTGCCTATTACCCACCTAAGCTATATGTACTAACCACTGTCATATATGTGGTTTGTCATTGACTGAAACGTCGGGATGCAGCACATGATTGTATAGAGAACACTAGGTGAGATATAATAGGGAGACATAACTTGAGCTAAGAAGTCAAGGAAGGACTCTGAGGATGTGACACGTAGCTGTCTCTGTTCATGCTTTGCTCCATATCCCTTCTGTCTGAGTTCACCTGAACTGTTGGAGACAGTTTCTAACATGCCAGCAACTTCCCAACTCAAGTGCTCTGTCTCTTCTTTCTGCCTGAGGGTGCAAGCAAGGGTAATCCAGGGGAGGAGGGGAGTTAACTACCCCAGGAGCAGCCTTTGATCAATGGGAGGTGGGAGTTGGTGGAAAAATGTCCCAGCTGCCTGACCTCCAATGAAATGATTTTGAGGCATGTTTTCTCTAATGTTTCTTGGGGGTCTCCAAGGGAAGACCTGGTGATGGTGGTAACACACCCAATAATGTACCTGTTACTGGTTTTTCTCTTTTCTTTGTCTCGCTTTTCCCACATCCTTTAGCAAATGCTTCCTAGGATCACCTTTCAAACAGACTATCTGCCCCTGAATCATTATGGCAGGGTTGGTGTTTGGGGTACCAACCAAACTAAGCCGAAGTTTAATGAATATGGAAGACATGACCAACCAAGGTTGAGAGACGATTACAGTCAGAAGAGACATCCTGTAGAAGTACCAGAGCCAAGGGTTAAGGCTAGCAGGTTCAAGGAACTCAAAGATGTTCTAGAAGACGGGCTGGAACAGAGAAGGCAAGGAGAAAACTGTGAGGTAGCAGGGGCCAGTGAGTGGTAAGCCTTAGAACTCATTTTCATTATTTCAATATTTTCACTATCCTAGGGACAGTGGGATTCTAGATCGAATGATTTGAAGTGGGAGAGCGATACACTAGGTATTATGGAGAATGAATTCTAGGGGAAATGCAGTCAAGACATCCATGAAGAAGTTACTGAGATAATAGTAACCTACACTTGGGGAAGAGTGTCAGTGGTACCTGGAGAGAAATGGGTGGATTTCACATTGAGAGGACAGCACCTTTCTAAATTGCCACTGCTACTCCTTATCAGTATGAAGCAGGTCATGGCAATAACTAAGATAAACTGGGAAACATTTCAATCATTGATTTTGCTCTTCAGGATGATATATTAGCAAATTTTCTTTGAGAACTTATTTACTTCTCAAAAAAAAGTCTTTAACTTATGTATATGTGTATCTCAAACTTATTCTAAAAATATTTAAATGTTTGTGGTGGCTGAGAAACCAATATCATATTCCTTTGGTTCATCTTTGGTGGTAATTGATAAGTTTGTTAGTGGTATATGTTTAAACCAAACAAAATTCTGGAAGTGAGAATGCCAAAGGGTTGTAAATCTTACCAGTTTTCTCATAAGCCTGGAAATAAGTTAAAATGATGGAGAACAATATACTATAGCAAGTGTCTTTATAAAATTATTTCTGACATCTTCTTTGAGAGATATGATTTTGCCATTGAAGCTTTTATTTTAGGGTTATTAGCAGCCACTAATTTCAGTTAGTGCACTGAAAATGGGTTTTGTTTTTACCATTAGTCAGCATAAAATAAAAATGGTAATAAACTCTTTCTGAAGAAGGAGCTTTCATTAAAAAGGAAAGAAAATCTAATTGAAAGTCACAGTAAATTTTCGAAGATTAATTTCATGCCAAATAAGTCATTAGAAATCTCTGAAGGATATAAAACAGCAATCATTTGCAAAATTGGAAAGAAGTAAATCAATCTAGATATACTTCTCTATTTTTTTAAATTTGTGTATTTGGAGATAGGTAATATAGAAATCGCTGAATTTTAAAATAATAGCCTCTTACTATAGGTAGTCTGTACGTGCTGTTGAGGTCTAAACCAGCTAATTAATTTCCCTCTGGATCCTTGTATTTGAGTTGATCATCTTTGTTAGAACTCACTGTTTTTCTTCTTTCTTGCCTAGTAATAATATATCTGGTTCATATCATTTCAAAGATACAAAAAAATCTAGGGTTTTTTGTTTCTTTGTTTTGCATCGTTGTATTGTGTTCTGCTTCTGTTATTTTACTGCATATATTTTATATATACTTATGTATAATATATAGGATGACATATAATAATATGTAATATATAATAATAAGTAACTAAATCTATGTATGTATGTATTTATATATAAAACCAGAGCTTCAAGACTCATTTTAGAAAAAACAGGGGCAAAATTTATGAACTTTCTTCCTAAATCTCCAATTTGCCTCTATACAAAGGAAAAGTAGCTCTCCAGTAACCAGCATTTTTTATTCTTCGACTCTGTGCTTTTAAAAGTGGACATAATATACTGAATCTGGAGAGCTCATTGCATCTAAAAAATGAAAATATCTGCAAGTCTAGATCTGTAGGCGCAAGACAGCTTGTTCAATGAAACCGCCTTTCATTATGGGATTTACAGAAGACAAATTGAATATATAATGGTGTAAAATGAAATCTTTTGATTTTTTTTATTCAGTGAAACTTGACAGATAACGTGTTCTACTGTTCTGGAGAAGACTAATCAAACTAAAAAGACCCCTCAAATAACTTGCTCATCATGATGACAGAACTGATTTGCAGTGGCAATGATGATATTAGAGAGAATATCTTGATTCAGAGTTGAAACTTCCAGATTCCCTTTGTAAGCAAAGACCAGACCAAGAGGCCGTAACAGCGCAACTTTACTCTTTTTCACATACTTCAAACATTTAATTACCAGAAAAAATATCCTTTATTACCATATAGGATTCAGCTTTTAAAAGTCAATTACAATAATAATGATGCACATAAAAGCATCATTTTTTTTAAATGGAAGGCTCTTCATTTTACATTTACTGTTATCCACATTATTGATTTTCTTTTCTGGTTGTTGTTCCTTGCAGAGAGTGAATCTGTCCTTCGATTTTCCATTTTATGGCCATTACCTACGTGAAATCACTGTGGCAACTGGGGGTAAGTGGTTTTCTACCCATTCACCCTAAATAATCTACAGTTTCACTACAGTTATTAGTTTTAATTTAATCCATATTTCAAGAGGGACATTTGTTGGGAAAACCATTGTCTTCTATTGTGAAGTCATGGGTATAAAGAAAACCTGAGAAAGTGTGTAGTTATTGGAAAAACTTTCTGCAGAAAAAATGTGGTTCTAATAATTTTTAGCTTAGATTCACCTCTGCTTTCCTTCTAAGTTTTAATTCCTTTTTGGTAGTATGGTAAAACTGTGGGAATGGGAATAAAGCTGGAAAGAAGAGATGCTTGAACAAGCTGTTGAGGTATTTTTATTTTCTTTCGATGTATATAGTTGATAGATACAAATATATATATATATATATACACATATATATATATACATACACACAAACACACAATCATATGCATATTATCTTTATTATTTTTTCCTTTAATGTCACCTATGTTGACCAGAAACTCATTTGAGAGTTTTAAAAATAAACATTGAAATTCAGTTTGAATTCTTTTAGTTTTATTTTTCTCCACAAACTTTGGAGGTTAGTTTAGAAGTTAGCAATACTCTAGGAAGGCAATTATCATTTTTATAGTATATCCCAGAAGTCAGAAATATTTTAATTCTTGAGTGCTACTGGCAGAGAGAAAAAAATGCCAGAGAATATGCCTGTAGGCCTAAGACAGAGGAGTGGAGAAAGCAGAAGAATGAGAGAAAAACATAAAAATGGAAGAGTAAGAAGCAAGTTAAAAGAAATCCATGAATGTGGTGAAAATGCAGAGCCCCCGTGCCTGAAGCACCACAGACCAGAGTCTCTTTCCTTCACTGAGTCTTGTTTTTGGTCTTCTGGATGGTATGGAAACTATGTTGATCACTCTTGCCATATTTTTTTATTTTTTTTGTGAGGGAGATGGGCCCTGAGCTAGTATCTGTTGCCAACCTTCCTCTTTTCACTTGAGGAAGATTGTCACTGAGCTAACATCTGTGCCAGTCTTCCCTCATTTTGTATGTGGGACACCACCACAGCATGGCGTGATGAGCAGTGCTGTGTCCACGCCTGGAATCTGAACCTGCAAACCTCCATCAAAGCAGCCTGTGCAAACTTAACCACTACGCCCCCAGGCCAGCCCTACTCTTGCCATATTTTAACATGAGACTTAGAAGATATGTAGGATTCAGAAAAAGATTTGTCATCATAAATATCAATAAGCAAATAAAAGTTTTTGAGCACCTATCCCAAGCAATGGTAAATGAATCTACCACTGCCTTAGGAATGCACAGCCTAGTGGACTACCAGACAAGGTGAAGCAGAAAGTAGGGAGTTCCTTAGAAAATACCAATGATGAAATACAAGTTTCCAGGGATGATAAAGCTCAAACATCTGTGAGAATCTTTTAAGACTTTATCGAGAATTATTGTTTAAGATATGCTTTGAAGGATACACAATTTCTATGGTTGTGTAGGGAAGGGTGGGTAGGTCACAAGGAAGAATATCTTGAGTAAATATGTGAAAGAGGAAATGGGTGGAGTATATTTAGGATAGTAAATAACTGAGTTTGAGTGAAGCTGGGGGTAGGTTTACAAAAAATGTGGCATATTAAGGTGAGAAAAGTAGATTGGGGCAATTTTATATGCTACATAGAGTCGATTGAAGTCATTAGTCCTTAATTAGGTAAGTAATAAACTTTAAGAAGTTGAATCTAGTCATCTGTGTAGTGTCTTAAAGTACGAAAAGACCAGAGTTAGTACATATCATTGGAAGAATATTGCAATAGCTCGTATGACAAATATTGAGAGCCTTGGTGATTCTCTGGCTTCAAACCGAGGGAAAGAAATGATGCTATTAGCAAAAATTACAAACTCAAACAGAACTGGTTTTGGGGAAAACCAATGGCTTCTGAAATTATTAAATTTTATGTAAAAAAAGGACAATATATAAGTGAAGGACTGTGTCTTTTTAAACTCACCGTATATTTCTGTGCTAGTGTAGTGCAAGGCATTTAATAGGCATTTAATTAATCTGTTGAAGACTTGAATGAAAAGGGAGAAAGGTAAAATTGAAAGATTTCTCCTATATGCCATAAATTATGTCACACACCTCACATCTTTAAAGTATTATGTAAACATGGTTATCATACTATATGGAAATTAGGCATGTTTCTGACATTTTGGTTACCAGTATTCCACTGAACTTTAAAAAATGAATTATTAATCACATTTGTTCAAAATCTGTACTCACAGTGGTACAGATATGGGCAGCTTTTCATTTTCAGTTTCTTAAATTGTTTTATCTTTAAAAGTCATGTCAATGATTCAGCCAATATGAAGTAAGATTTCCTTTAGTTGAGTTAGTAGGAAAAAACCCAAACAGATGGCTACATCATCTTTACTGCTCTAAAGTATAATTTTCCTTTGAAAAGATCCTCAAAATAAGTGAAAAATCTGGTGTCTTGAATGATCTCTCTCTTCTTTGAAGAAAACACTAACGTAAAGAAACTTTTTTTCTCCACTTAAAATATGCTAGTATAGAACTTGCGTACATAAATCCATACCCTGTTTAGAGAGGCATAGCCAAGATAATCTAGACATTCAGCTTGGGTTCTTCAAAACGAAACCAGAATCTCCTGTAAAAGTTTCAACTAAATAAATAGCTTTTTGCACCTTCATTGTTCTTTTATTCAATCAATATTGATTGAATCCCTACTATGTGAAAGGCACAGTACATGATCCTTCAGTGTATGCAGGGAAGAATAAATTATGGTTCCTATCTAGGAGCTTAGAATCTAAGAAGAGGAAGGAGTACATGACTAAGCAATAAGAGAAGGATGACGGTAAGTGCTGGAGGAGCAGAAGGTTGCTCCAAGAGGAGATCATTCTTGTTGGGCTGATCAAGAACAGTTTGTGAAAGAGCTAACATTTGACATTGGACTTGAAGAAGGTGAAATTTTAGTAGGCAAAGAGGCAGGTTGAAAAGAGATGGAGAAGGAACGGACATTCCAAACAATGGGATGCTGAGCTAAGGGACAGTGCTGAGCCTTTCTTGAGTGTATTTGGAGGGTTGTCAAGTACATCTGTTTATTTTGAGTGGGGAGTTAGAATCTAGTGAATGAGAGATGGGAAAAGCAACGTGAGATGCTTTGAACATTAGACATTTGGGTGATATCCAACAAGCACTGGGTTTCTCTGAGTAAAGAACCGGCCTGGCCTAATCTGGCAGTGGAGAGCAGGTAAGGTGAGGGGATGAAGGCAAAGAAAGAAGGTTTTTAAATACTTCTGCATGGATTGTAGTGCCCTGACTGTGATAGGTGCAGTGGTGAAGGAGAGAAGGAGCCAGTGAAGACATGATATTTGAGTTGTTTAATCACTGTGGTTGCAAAGGTTTCCAGCCAAAAAGGATCCATTAGGATGCAGTGAACAAAGCTAAGAATAGCTTAAAAGAGGACTTCTGAAGCAGACTTTCGATGGCTCTGTTCTGTGACTGACTAGGTGTTATAAGCAGATAGACCTACCTGACAAATACTCATCACCTTACAAGTCTTCATAAACTTATTAACCATGAAAGACTTGGAAGAAAAATAGACACTACAAGTCAGGTTAAATAAAATAGACCAACGACTCGGATTTTTAAGTTGGAACATATAGGTTTCTATGAAACTGAAATGAACAGAGATAATCTACTGGCTTAATTCTCTTCAACTGTGTCTGCAAATTCCTCTTGAACTTGTTTCTCCCTTGCATTTGGGAAAAAGAAAGTGAAATGTTAAAGTGGATATTTTAAACCACAGTCGCCTGCACTCCTACCTCTCTGTTTTCCCATTTCCCACACCTCCTTAAAACCCCTCGTTCTCTCCCCTTCTCTTCACATAGACACAAATTTATTTAAGACTGAAATGAACTTAATGATAATGTCTTGTGTCATTGTTAGGCTCAACACCATTTGAAAACAGAAAGTAGTTTAAAATTAGAGATATACACATAATTTACCGTGACCTTTCTTTGTGTGGGTGTATGTATATATATATATTTCATTATGAATAAACTTGTTTCTAGTTAAAAATGTAAATAGAAACTAAATATCCATTCATTTATTTATAAACTACAAAAGTGAGTCTTTGTTTATTAAGCATTTTAATTTTAAAAAGCTTCAATCATCCATAAAAATCATGCACAAAATGAATTGGAAATACCATCATATTTTCTGGTTGACTGGTAGCAGACTCAGCAAGCATTCATTTATCTTCTTATTTAAAAAATACTTCAGAATACAGATATTTCAGGCATTAAAAACTGATCCTCTATGCATTTCATAAAAAATATTTCCATTAATGCCACCAGTAAGTTGTGCTGTGTGTGTATCACACTGGCTTTTACTTTCTCTCTATATGAATACTTTAATTGGTTCTTTTTTATTATTAGGCTGCTAAGGTGATCTTTTAAATGCTTCAAAAAGTAGATTTAAGTTTGAGGATTAAACTCAATTAAAAATTAAATTAATTAAATTAAACTCAATTAAAATTAAAAACTCAATTAAACTCAAATTAAAAATCATTTTTAATTCCTATGACTATCACTAGTAATGATATTTTTTCATGAGTCCATCGTGGGTACACATAAATACGATGAGAGAAGGGGGCGGGGTAAGTGCTGCTTTATATAATGGTGAAGAGAAGAGTTGAGGATATCCAGATAATTCTGGCCCCCAAACTTTAAGTATTTAGACAGATTCATAATTGAAATAGTCTGTGGAACTGCATGCAGCTGTACGTAAGATTAGGGATAGAAAATGACATGATTTAAAAATATAATGATGAAAATGTGTTACTTTCCTTGACCAGATGAAGGATTTACCTTCCCTTCCCTTCTACACGAATTTCTAGTGGGAGATTTACTAAGAAATCTGTTTAGATTTTTTTTCAGGGTATGAAAACAGTTTTATTGGGAAAACTTCGTACACATCTCTTTTTTACTTTTTCCATTATTGATATAATTG